ACAAAATTCAAAGTATGTTTTGCTCAGAAAGAAGGCTTACACCAGTAAAACAATCAAAGTATCGCATCAATTTAAACTTACCCATTGTACAGATTCTTTTCAGTTTTATTTCTTTTTAGTTTAAAATGTGGAAACATAGGTAAATAAACAAAAAAATTTTAAAATGAAAGTGAAGTAGATGTTTGAAAAGAAAATAATGATATATTTTCAAGAAAAGTAAAACTATACTTGATTTCAGGTGACACTGCTACTTTAGTCAATATACTAAACTAACAATATAATTACAGACATTTCAACATAAAAGTCTTTTTTTTGGAGAGGTTTTTCACTATAGGGCACGTGCGCTCGCCAGACAGACAGAGAGAGACATAGAGACAGAAAGCGAGAAATCACCCGCCAGGAGGGATGGTCACGTCGCAATCCCTTCTCCATTCTTCTCTCAGGATCTTGGGCACACACGCACACGCGCCTGGCGTGAGTTTTAAGCCACCGGGTCCGGGACGTGAACCGTGTTCGACTACGTGGGAGTCCACTGACATAGCCATTACGCTAACTGCTGGTTCCCCAACATAAAAGTCTTAATAATGTTTCTAAATAGGCAAATAATCAGACTTGAACATGCCTAAGTCATAATTTAGCTATTCAGTTTATTCAACAGGTTTTTGTTGAATGTCTTCTATGTGTCAGGCACTGTGGTAGGTACATTGGGTATATCAGTGAATTAAACAAAGCTTCTTATTCCAGGGCTTAAAATCTAGTTGGGGTTTTATATTTATTTCACAGTTTGCCTCTGGCTTGTTCCATAGCTTTATACTGTTCTCTGCAAAATGTGACTTAAAGACTTGATAAAACTTTTTATGACTCACAAAATTCTGCTGCATACAGTTAGCTGCATAGTGTTCATGCCAATGTGATATTGATGTTTGAGACCATCTGGGTTTTTAGGCAGATCTGCTCTGTGAGTCTGGACAAAACATTTAATTTGATGAGACTGGAATCAGATCTGTAACAATTGGGATATCTCATAGGAGAAGAAAAAATGCGAATTTGTTGGGATAGCAGACTGTAGTCTAGATTGCAGTAGTCAATTTTGGCTGGGCTTTTATAAGATCATTGAAATACCAGCATATTTCCAATTCCATTAAAGAAATGTAAACCTACTGCTCATATGTGTTAGATGAAGCAGTATGATTTTTATTTTGTATGAGTTGCCTTCTGAGGATTTATTGTCCTTCACACACACTATTTTATTTATCCACAATTGAGCCCATGAAGTTGTAGGAATGAATGTTTCTAATCTGAAATAATAACTTAAACCATTGAGGGGCCTGCAGTTACCGTGGTGGTTAAAGGTGCTGGACTCCCACGTGACTGACCACGTATCAAGTCACAGACCTGGTGGCTTACTTTCTCACTTTCCCTCTCTCTCTGTTCCTCTCCAGTCAGAATTTGAAAATAATAATAATTGAAGTCAAATAAAATAATTTTAAAGAAATTGAGATATCTGGGGCCAACAGGTGGTGTGAAGATTAAGTGCTACATCGCACATGACCAGCTTTGCGGTTTGAGTCCTGGACCTGGTGACTTAAGAATCTTGCTGGATGTGTATGCATGCCCAAAATCCTAAGGGGAGAGTGAGGAGATGGTCATTGCAGCATGACCATTGCCCCGGGAAGGTGATCTCTCTCTCTCTCTCTCTGGTGAGCACATGAGCCCTATAGCAAAAACTAAAACAAAGAACAAACAAAAATGAGAGATATCTATTGGAATTAAATGTACTTGGTAAAATTTTGGTAAATAAACTCAGTATTTATAATTCGAAGCTTAGTAAGTTTTCTAATAAATGTTGGTACTGTTAATACAGTTTTAAAAAAAATTTTGCTATAGGGTATGCACAGTTGCTAGAGAAGCAAAGAGAAAGAGAAAGAAAGAGGCGAAAAGTGAGAAAGCCCTCCTGGAGGATTGACCACGCTACAGTCTCTTCTCCTCCATTCTCCTTTCATAATTTTGGGCACACATGCACACGCACTTGTGTTTTTCAATCACTGGGTCGAGGACTCAAACTTTTTTTTTAGAGACTTTTTTGCTGTAGGATGCATGTGCTCACCAGAGAGAGACAGAAAGCTAGAAATCACCCCCAGGCGGATGGCCATGTGGAATCCAGCTATCTTAATCACCATTGCCACAATCCTTTCTTCTTCATTCTCCTCTCAGGATCTTGGACTTGCGTGCACATGTGCTCAGCGTGAGTTTTAAGCATCTGGGTTTAGGACTTGAACCACAGTCGACTACATGGAAGTCCAGTGACGTAACCATTATGCCATCTGCTGGTCCCAGGAATCACTTTTTTATATTCTAGTGTCATATAAAACCAAGGAAGGCTTGTGTTTGTGTTATCAGTATAGATAATTTAAAGGAAAATAATAAATTAGGAAATGTTAAGATTAATTTTCATTTTTATACTTAAAATATATGAGAAATTTAAAGGCAATTATTTTGATATATTCCATTGGATGATAAATATTCAGTTATATAATAGTAGAACAAGCCACAGAAGCAGATGGCTAGTACCCTTGTATATTTGTATGTCCATAATGGTTAATATTCTAATAGTAGGAACAGTTTTTGGAAATTATCTCATTTGCTTGGATTATTGATTTTACCAATAATCTCACTGTTGAGTAGTACAGTCCAAATTTTTAAACTTTTTTTTTTTTGGTGGCATACAGTCTTTCAATATCTGGCCTCTGTCTACTTTTCTATCTTCTTGTCTTACCACTTACCTTCACTCTTAACTCAAGCTTCTAGGTTCTAACTATTTTACCTGCTTCATGTTCTTTGTGTACAGTGGTAAGCCGTGCAGGCAGGGTTGGGGCATCTTTTCTCTGGTATAAGCCTGCATGTGTGTGATTATCAAGAAAACATCTGTCTTCAATGTTAGACTGGACCCAAGGAAGAAAGAGTTGTGTGTTTTTGTTGTTTTGTTTTTTTAAGCCTTTGAGTTGTGTGTTTTTGTTGTTTTGTTTCTTAAATCTTTGTGTACTTACCTTTGTGTCCCTTTTGAAGATATGTGGATCTTAACTCATTGCATGGTGCTGACGGAGGCCATATGACCTACAAGGCCAGTTACTTTTTCTTTATACTCCATAACCACAGCTTTGGCTGTTATTCAACTCATCATTCTCCTTGAAATTTAGAAAACAATGAGTGTATGATGTACGGATCAGTCACTGGAGGGAAAAAAGACAGCATTCAATCAAATCATATGTCTTGGTTATAAGGAAAGAATACTATTTTATTAATTTACTTCCCCTCCAAAGAATATAATCTACTAAAAATCAGAGTTGGGTATTTAGTTTGTGGGATTATTTGGACCTGTGCGACCAATTGGGAACTGGTCTTCCATTAAGCAGAACAGTTCCGTCATATCCCCAATCCCTTGTCCTTTTTGTCTTAACAAAAGTTACTGCGATTATTCCTAGGACATACATGTTATATGTATATGACTATATCATTTTTTATCTAAATTTTCTGAAGTCCAACAAATAGTATATTACATTTTATCAAAAGTCATTGAGAGATTGATATTATCTTGTCACAGTTTAAGAGAATTAAATTTTGGTATCTAACCAAAATTAGAAGATCCTTATTTTATAAACCAAAGGCTGAAGTAGTTTTAGTAAGCAGTTCCTTCTATTTTGATTGGATAGCAGTCATAGCTTGATTTTCCTTTACTAGTTTACTAGTAATTCTGCAGCTTCCCAGTGACAACTGAATTGTAGGAATACTAGCATCATCAGACCATTGAACTTTTGCAGAAGAAAGTTAATTATTTGAAACTTTGAGACTTATCCAGAGATTTAAAAAATATCTTTACCTCAGTTTGTTTTTTAAATGCATACTTGTTTATTTAGTATCTTAATGCATGTTGTTTCCAACCAAGTAAATCTATTTTCAAAACAGAGATTAAGAGATTTGGCTTATTTTTCTTTTCTTGGTGAATGTGCCAACAGTCTGTTTTCTATAAGACATGTGTCTGTTTTAACTTACTATTTTGATTATGAGTAGTTTATTATCCAGATAGGCCTTTAAAAATAGAATATTTACTAAGAGTTCTTATGCATATGGTTGAGTGCATATTTTAGAATGATTTAGAATTTATAAATAGAATATAAGATATTATTGGGAACATGTTTGTATAACACATAATGCTAAAAAAGAAAGAAAGAAGATCATAATATTTTAAGCATCTCCAGTCATTCAAGGGTGGAATATCTTCAAATGCTAATTTGTCTCTCCTTAGAATAGTGGTGACATCTTTATATTCGGTTGACTTATGTTCTAGCATTTGCACTACCCATTTGGGTCCAGTCTCCTGAATATGATTACTTTTTCTGAGTACTGCTTTGAGATTCTGACTCAGATACTTCAACTTATACCTTTTTGCATTAGGGGCGTGAACTTCCTAGGGGACAGGGTTTTGTGTTTGAAGTTGCTCAGAGTTTCCATCTGCTTTTACTTGACTTGTGGTCTTGAAGATCATGCTTGGCCCATGGGATCTTACAGTTTGCCGAGAGGATGTGGAGTTTTGTCAGCCAGTGAAATATGTCTGGCTTTTTCTTCCTTTTTTTTTTTTTCCCCCTTTTCTTTCCTACAGCTTTCATACACTTCTCGTCCTGTGTGGTCTTCACTGAACTGAATTTATATTTAACAGAACTACTCACTCTCTTTATCATCTTCTATGACTTGGCCTTTTTTAAAGAGAAGGTGTGTAGAAGGAACATCCGAGCCAAAAAAACTGTAATCTTGGCAATAGGAAAACCTAAAACTGAAAATTTCAAATAGTGTTATATGTAAATGGTCTTCAAGATTTACAAATCATATTTTGTAATGCAGAAGAGGATCATATTTCATTTATGAACAACTGTCAAAAAAATTCTCATGCCAACAGTAGACTCGTTTTGTCTGTCATCCAAATGACTGTGTTTGCTTGTTTTTAGGCACTGCTGCAGTCTTCAGTTAAGCAACAAGCAGAAGCTATTGAAAAACAGTACATTTCTGCAATTGAGAAGCAAGCACACAAGTGTGAGGAGTTGCTAAATGCGCAGGTAATAAAAGTGCACAGCTATTACATGTTTATACTTTTCTTCTGACTCTCCTCCCCTGAGAGCTCTATAACTGTTTATTCAGTTTCGTGCCATTTACTTTCTCCTTGGTGTATTTTGGAGAAAAAATAGGCTTATGTAAACTCAAAGTTTGAGAATTTTATGATATACTCAGAATAGGACTAAAGACCTAAAATACATGGATCTCCCTCAAATTAGTTATTATTCTTAAGTCAATTCTGTATTATAATAATTTTCATCAATAAAGGAAGCAAAGAAGATAGCAGTAAGTGCACTGTGGCGTGTGAATGAGTTTTAGTGGCATAGATTGCTGAGTAACATTTGAAATGTTAAATAACTTACATATGTTTATTTTATCTTCCCTTCCATGTAGGCATTGGTTTTTATTTGATTTTTTCAGTTATTTTTTTTTTCTTTATTTAATGTCTGAAATGATTACCCACTTAAATTGAACAGTCAGTTGAAGAGAATTAATGGATTTCTCTTATAAATGATGTATGCAAGGAGTTCCTAGGAATATTTTTCAATAATAAAAGATATGCTCAGATGAAAATTAAGTCATCTTTAAGGTGTTTTTGTTTTAGTTTTTAAATTCATCCATGCATACAAATAACAGAAAAAGAGAGAGAGACAGACAGAGAGAGACAGTGAGACAGAGACAGGCAGGTACACTCCAGACAGAGAAAAGGTGGACACTCTCATTAGGGTTTCATCACTCCATGACCACTTTTCCATAGCCCTGCAGGTTGCCTGGATTTTGAACATGTACACACTCAGCATGTTTTCAGATTGAATAGGGATCTGAACCCATGATTGACTGTTTGGCTCTAGCACTGTAGGTCATTACTCTAATGATTACACTACCAAGATTGGGCCCATATCTGCCTTAAAGGAGTGGTTTTATATAATGAGAAAAAATTTCCTAAGAATTGGGAAACAAAATAAGGTATATAGAATTACAATAGAGATTTATGAACATGCCACTCCATCCTCAACATTGGGGTCAATTCTATTAAATATTATTTAATGTTACTTTAATAAATGGCTTAGAAGAAAAAATACAGAGAATCTTACAAATTTCATCTAACAGGTTTTAGTATTTTGGGTGGTGAAAATGCCAGGTTTCCAGATGTATGAAGTGCATACCTTTATGAATGTACAGAAAAATTACAAAGAAGAAATAAGTTGATGGAACAGTGGAAAACAGCATCAGGCATATTATTTTCCAGGATTGTCTGGGTTATACTTGAAACTCTCTGGCTTTAGACGGCAAAAAGGTTTTGTTTTACTCATGTCGCCATATGCCCTGGATGTTGTCTTGGGTTCTGTCTCATCTGTTTTCTTCTTCCCGAGAAATTTTCTGGTAGTGTAATTCCTAACTGGAACATTACCTGTTAGCATCACCGAATAAAAGAGAGCTCTCAGGACCGGCAGCCGGCATAATGGCTATGTTGCTGGGCTCCCATGTGGTCAACTGTGGTTCAAGTCCTGGACCCAGTAGCTTAAACATATGCTAGGCATATGTGAGTGCGTGCCCAAAATCCCAAGGGGAGAATGGAGGAGAAGGGATTGTGGCATCGCCATCCCCCCAGGGGGTGATTTCTCGCTTTCTGTCTCCTTGTCTATCTCTGTATTTCTGGTGAGCGCACACCCCCTATAGCAAAAGCCTCTCCAAAAAAAAAAAAAGAAAAAAGAGAGAGAGAGAGAGCGAGCTCTATTCATTATCTTATCAGCAGTTAAACTTTCTGACCTAGAAATGATACTTCTAGTCCCAATTTATATCCACATGGCCCCACCTAATTGTTAAGGGGGCTCAGATAGTGAGATCCTGCCATAAACTAGGAAATATTGCTGGACTTATATACCGCATTGTATTCTATTGGTCACCAACATTCACTTTCTGTGTCCTACAGGCATATTTTTACATCCTGTCCTTACAGGAGAAAATCTTTAAGTTCTATCCAGTCATGGCCTCAAACTCAAAAGTCCAGGATTTCTGGGTGATAGGAGGGGAATGATGGCTATGATTCCACATTATTATCAGGTAGAGCTATATGGTCCTTTTGACTTGAAGAACTAGAAACTGAATATAAACTGTATACTCCCAGCATATTTAGTATACAGTGGTTAAACAATAGTAGGGTATTTATTGTAAACACTCCTCATAGGAAAGGTGAAGAATCAGAGACACATAGTTTACTGTTAGTATGTAGCAATGCTAAAATCTTGCTGGATGGATTAAATAGGAGTTCTTGCCTGGGGATAGTGATTGCTCTTCAATTTGTTGTGATTCTGTTTCAGAACAGGTCTTTAGTTCATTGTTCCTTGTGCTTAAAAGTTTTTTTCATTTTTTTCAGTATCAATTTTGTCTCTATTAAATATGGATATTGGATTTTATACAGTTTCTCTGCTTGCCTCCTGTCTATGGAATATTAGGGGCCCAAAATCATTTTAAGTGTCATATTGTTACTGTTCAGGGTAATGATTCTTTTGTTTTCTTATCTATTTATTTATAGTCAGCTCTTTTTGTCAAAGGCATATCCACAGTAATTTTAGAGAACTAATTTCTAGATTTAGTATACCTATATGCTTTCCTACCTCATGCTTATCTGTCTGTAGTTCTCTTCTTTTTCAAAATTGACATAGGGTGTTACACTCGCTAGAGAGATACTGAGAGAGAGAACCTTCCAGTGAGAGGTGTTTACGCCTTAATCCCTTCTCCATTTCTCCACTCTGTTAGCGTTTGGGGCATACACACATATGCATCCAGCATGTTTCTCAAGTCTCGAGGGCCAGTATTCAATGACTGGCCATGTGGGATCCAGCTCCGTTAACCACTAGGCCATAGAGCCAGCCCTACATTTTTAAACATGTACTTTGGGGCCACTACTGTATATAAGTACTAGAAAAACCTTTTGTACCTCCATGCTCTTTTGATTTACAACCTATCTGACATTAAATATGTGGGAGTTTCCCATACCAACAATTGGTTCTCCAGGTACCTATTTACTAAGGGTGACGTACAATACAATTCATTTGTGATACCAAGTCCCTGGAATTAGCATCAGACTCCATAAGTATAAAGACAGTCCCAGAAGATTGCCCTGACTTGAGATGTCAGTAGCAAGTATTGGGTCTCCAGGGTACATACACTGCTGTTTAATTTGGCTACAGAGTTAGGAGTTCCCAGAGCTGCCTTCCACTTCAGATTTGATCATTTGTTGGAATGGCTCTAGGACTCAGGAAAACACTTTACTTACATTTTAAATATCTAGGTGTAAGATATACATGGGAAACACTATGGAGAAGAAGTGGTATGTGGGGCTTCCATGCTCTCTATGGGCACCAGCCTCCTGACCCGTGGATTTGTTCACCAACCAAAAGGCCTCGAATCTCTTTCTTTTCTTTTTTGTTTTTTTGAGAGAGTTTTTTGCTATAGGGCGCGTGCACTCACCAGACAGACAGAGAGAGACAGAGAGATAGGAAGCAAGAAATCACCCCTCAGGGGGGATGGCCACACCACAATGTCTTCTTCTCCATTCTCCTCTTGGGATCTTGGGCACGCATGCACACGCACCCGGCGTGAGTTTAAGCCACCGGGTCCGGGATGCGAACTGCAGTCGACCCCTTGGGAGTCCAGCCACTTGAATCTCTTTCTTTAGAGGATTTATGGATGTTTCATTATGATAGGCATGATTAATGAGATCAATGGACAACATAGGGTGGGGCTGAAAGTTTATATTTTATCCCAGCTCCTTTTTTGTCCTTAATTATTATGATTTTAAATGTCATATGACATGCAGTCTGCTTTGTTAGAAGGATGTAACAGTAAGGAAAAAAGCCAGGCACAGTGCGTCTAGTAAGCAATATGGTCTGATTTTATAACTGCAAACTAGTGTGATAATTATGATGGAATGAGTAGTTAAATGAGAGCACATCCAGGGGTACGCTGACACAATTAGCTCCTCCATAGTAGGTGAGGGAAGACTTACCAGATTTATGAGTGCTCTTAAGATCCATGTATTTAAGTGAGATCAGAGCTGAGCTTAGCATGAAAGAGGTAGATGGAATAGCTTATTAAAAATCCCTCAGTTGGGATCAGCAGATGGTGTAATGGTTGCATCGCTAGACCCCCCATATAGTCGACCACAGTTCAAGACCTGGACCCAGCAGCTTGAAATTCATGCTGGGTGTATGTGCGTGCATGCACAAGATCCCAAGAGGGGAATGGAGAAGGGATTGTGGTGTGGCTACCCCCTTGGCAGGGAATAGCGATTTCTCACTTTCTCTCTCTGTCTCCCCAGTGAGCACATGTGCCCTATAGCAAAAAAATCACTCTTAAAAAAAAAAAAGGAAAAAAAAAACCGCAATGGATAGAATATAAATGTTAGGAGTGTCGCTATTTCAGAGTGAAAAATGAATAAGAATTATATACCATAGAGAGGATCATATAGAACTTTTTTTTTCTGCATTGTTTCGTAGGAAATTGGGTGATATTAAAAGGCATAAATTAAAGAAGTGACATCTGAATAGATGTCATAGATCTGTATTTTGGAATTTTTATTCTGGCTACAGTATAAAAATCAAGTTGGTGGGAGAATATTAGATGTAGATAAGCCGGTAAACTATTTGTTATCCAGGTAAGAAGATTGGTGGCCCATACTTAAACATGAGTTTAAGCCACCAGGTCTGGGACTTGAACTGCAGTCGACTGTATGGGAGTCCATCAACATAGCCCTTAGGCCATCTGCTGAGGCCAGTATGTGATCCATTTTTAAATTAACTTTGGGGTATGAGGAGATGAGATAGTTAAAAGTTTTTCTCTCCCTATTTTATAAATGCCCATTTAGTTCAGCACCATTTATACAAAAGAATATTCTTTCTTTGATTGTATGAGGATATTTAAGAAAGACCTGGGGAAAATGGAATAAAAGTAAGAGTCTGTTTTGGTGCAAAAGGCAGTTCAAATCCCTGCATCTCTT